TTAAAATTTATTTAGAAGTACATTACAGATAGATGGACCTTACAATGAAGCATTTCATGAGAAGCTGCTGGATCTTTCAACTGAAGATGATGGGACAGTAGCATTTGCGTTAACAAAGGTACTTCTCCTGTGCATGTTGTTGAAGCTTATTTAGTCTGTCAATTTTAATAAACACCTGTCTAACGGAAACAGATGGATAGCGTGTTAGCATCACCGCTGGCTCGTCAGGTGTCTGTACATTTAAAGTTCTTGATTGTGCCAGGGTGTATCTTGATGGCAGAAGCACTTAAAACCAAACATGTTTAGCACCAGTTCTGGAGAGGAAAATGAAGCTGGTTATTTCCTTTCTAGACTGAGGAAGTATTTGCATGAACTGGTGCTGTTTTGGCCTTCAAGAAAACTATCTGTAGGAAATAAACATGATTCTTACAGGATGCTGTAAAACCACTTGCTCCTGCTAACAATCTGTTATAGAGATAATTTCCAGCTCTTAAAATACCAGCATACTGATAACACTGAGAATACTAATGCCTTTTATAAAGAACAGCATGCTTTACTAAGGCAAATACAAATATAGTAGAAAATTCGTGTTGTTTTTATGTTGTATAGGTGCAGCAGTACAGAATAGCAATGACTGCTAAAGACTGCTCCATCATGATTGCCCTTTCCCCCTGTCTACAAGATGAATGGTGAGAGAGACCTGCTTTTGAATGACTCCTACTCATTTAGAAATTGAAGATGCATTTGCACAGTTCAGTCAATTCAAGTAACTTGAAAAAAGTGGGAGGTTTTTTGGGGGCTGTCCAAATACTTGGCTGTGAGCATATTAGTGAGGTAGAGTTCTGATTTAAGACGTTTAGGACAGAGATCTGTTTCTGAAGAGTTTTAAGTTGATAAAAAGGGTTAAGGTTTTATATTTACTCCTTTCTTGACATTTGAATTTACTGTTCGTAGTAGATGTACATGGTTTTAACTAGGTACAATACTAGGTATAATTTTTCTGCCTTGGTGTCCTCCTATGAGAGATTTTTCAAGATGAGTTGCCTTTAACCACCTAATTAGAAAACAGAAGTCTTTATTAAGTGCATCGGTAAAAACAAGACAATAATCAAGAGGTGACATCTTTCACTGTAAAGCAAGAGGTTTTACCACAATATTGTCTGCTCTTACATGGGGGAGTTTGCTTTACCAAAGCCTTGTTATTTTTCGAGAATATTGTTTTCTGCGTTTTCCCTGTAGTTCTTGAATGAAATGTTCATGAGGGAGATGACTTGTGCAGCGGTTGACTTATTATAAATAAGTCCTCCATCCTTCAGTATGCTTGGACAGTAGTTCTGATACTAAATTTGTATCACCTTGAACCTAAATAGAAGTTGCAGTGATTCTTTCTGCTTCTGCTAGTGAATGAGGCTATTGCTTTGTATGCGTATCGCCTAGAAACAGATTGGACTTACTAAATACAAAGACACAGTAACTGAGAGTAATGCTTTGACTTAAGCTGTGTGGAAGCTGAAAGGAAAATGTCTGGAAGAGGCGCCAGCAAGTTCTCTTTAAGAGTAGTTAATCTGGAGCTATAGTTTCCTAAAGGCTACATTAGCTGAAGTTTATTGTCTTAGGCTCTCATGAAAGTTCTAAGGTAAAAATTAGAGTCACTTTTGTAAGGGGACTCGGGATACACAAATGAAAAACATTAGCTTCAGTGACTCAGATGTGCAATACGGTTTTGTTTTCCAGCTCTGAGCAAAGACCTGTGGTACTAACGTCCAAATCAAGGTTCACCTTTTCTGTTTCTGTCCTGGACCTCGATCTAAAACCATATGAAAGCATTCCTCATCAGTACAAACTTGATGGCAAGATAGTAAACTATTATTTGAAGAATGTACAGGCCAAAGATGACCCAGTTATGTCCAATCTCTTCAAGGAAAATGAAGACTGTACATTAGTTCTCCATAAAGTGTAACCGTTTCCTTAAGGTTATTTTTATTCGAACACATTAGAAAGTGAAAAGTTAATGGAATACAATTTTGGTGTTTTTTTTTTTTCTATTGTGTTCAGTGCATTTTTCAGCTGTGAATGTTTTTGCTTTAAGAAATTATTTCTAATTGGTATGCCTTTTCAAAGACATGGAGTAGCACTAAAACACACATCTGCTCTATAACCTTAATGAATGTATTTAATATGACAGAACAGATAATGTGCCATACCTTGGAACTAGAGGACAGATCGAATAAATACTAAAAGTCTCTACTTCCTTAGAATTGAAAGAGCACAGAATTAAAAGTTTCCTGAAGTATTGCACTAACATAGAAAGCCCAGTTACTACTAACAAGAGAATTGCCTTGGAGCTTGTGCTTTGAGTCTGACTCACACCTACTAGGAAGAGGGAATGCTCTGACAAAACCTAAAACTTTAGCATTAAGTCCGCTGAAAATACAACTGAGGTGGCTACTCAAGTGGTACTGATCTATGGAACTACCGTGTTAGTGCAGAAGTACTTTTAAGTACTAATGCATGAGATTAAGAACACCAGACTGCCTCCAGAAGTTTTGTGATCACCTTGTGTCTACCTATAGCTTCTGAAACTAAGTGAAAAGGGTTAAAGGTAAGCATCTTTGGATTTTATGTGATAGCTGGGCTTAACTCATCTGACGTTCTGGTCTTTTATTTTCTATACATTATATGCTGCTATTGAAGGTGAAACCACAGCTCGCTCTTACCTAATTTAAATTGAGCTATAAGAATAATATATTCTGAGTTTTACAGATTATTTCAGGTCTTTCAGATTGTGTCAAACGTTGGTATTATTTCACTGATACCCCAATACTGCGTAGCATGACAGCTGCATTCAGGCTCATTCTTTTTAAGTGATGCAAAAAAGGTGACAGTGTCTGATTTTCTGAAGCTGCAGGGGGTCACTTTCTCATGATGAGTGCTGGAGCTAAGCTTGTACCACTACTTCAGCAATCTAATGATGGCTTTACTTTGTAAACGTTAGCATGTGCAGCTGTGAGATGTTGCAGTAAAAGCCATCCTGAAGGAAGATCCTGAGCTGGAGACTGAGGATATATTCAAAACACTTCTCCCATACACCTGGGGATGACACACCCTGAAATGTGCAGAGAGAAGTTATTCAAGCTACAGTGAACTGCTGTTACCTGGATACAGTGTGTGCTTACTGGTAATGTTTTTTGAAATAGTGTAGGTTAACATTTAAAAAAATATATTTATATTGGGATCTCAATGTAATGTTTGAATTGTTCCATTTTACCTGAAATTCAAAAGGCAAAACCTGCATATTGGCACAACTCAAGGAAGAAATACGAAATGCAGCGCACCACCACTCACACAGCAGTAGAGCTTTGCCGTGGGCGGTGACCCGTGTTAGCAGTCTCATGTATTCCACTTCCAGGTGACTGCAGGCCTTTCTGGGATAGGGTTGTGGGCTGCTCTCGCGGAAATGCGATACTACAACAGTGCAATAAGCCCTTCTTTCCAATGAAAAGGAGGAAGGATGGACTATCCACAGCTGGAAAGTTTTCAGGTTTTTATGCTGTAACTTTACACACATTTCATATGCAAATAGAAATGTATGTGCTTGATCAAACAGTTTCATTTTCACGCAAGAAGGAGCTAAAGATGAAATAAACTAAAGGTTACACAAAACTAGCTAAACCAGTAACATGTCAATGGATAAAGCAGCAATGAATTTTGCCTGTCTGCTGGATTCCAAACTTGAAATTAGTCTGCCTTATATCAGAGAAGATCTTTTACTATAGACTTGCTGTTCATCAAAACTTAATCTCTGGCATTGCTCAGCTGTAGATTCTGACAGAAACCAATCTGGTCTGTCAGTTTTTCCTGACCTACCAGAACAGTAGAAGACTATTTCAGTGATCAAATAGTGGATTATTAAAACTATGGTATTATAAACATACTGTTGGTTTAGTTCTTGATTTCTCCAGCTATTTCACCATTGCTATAAAATACTTCGTTACAACATACAGACGGAGCAGGCAGTTGTACTGCTCGCATGGTTAGAGCAGCTGTGGAGTTGAAAAAGTAGTCTCTTAATATTACTTGAGGGTCCACAGTTCATATTTTTGGCCCCTTGATTCCAGGAACAACAACTGTTGCTCCCTACCCCAGAAGGACGTGACTTAGAGTTGTATGGGTTTGGTTTGGATGGGGTGGTGTAGTTGTCATAGCTGGTGCAGAGCAGGGACTCTTGAAAACTGCTGAGAGTTCACAGTTGAGCTAGTGGTACATCTGATGGAAGTGAAGGAAGGTCACAAGACATCTGTCTCATCTGTTTTGTTTCTTCAGGGATGAACGTATGAAATGTGATGCTTTCGTAATGTGTTACCTACTACACTTTCCCCCTAGAAGTAGGAAATGAAAGCGAAGTGCTGCAGCGAGCAGTAGTTAACTCGTCCATCTCTCTACAGAAGTGTAATGGTCCTTTCTTGTTCAGTTTAATGCTGTCTCTACTCAACACTTACACTAGGGGAAAAAGTTACATCATACAGTTACCCTTTTTTTTTTTTTAGCATAATATGTCTTTGAAATCTTCACATTGTCTAGTTCACCCTAATTTAATGAGAAAGCTGTTTAACTCTTTGTTCTAGGAGTCTCTTACTGTTCTCTTTTAAAATCACTGTACTTTTACAGAGCTGTGAAATGAAATGGATTTTTATGGACTTGATTTTGACAGTGCATGATCTTTTAACACTTTCCAGGTATCTAGAAAATGTTAAGAAGATAAACCACTCTGGTACATTAATGATTCAGAAAGATAAATTTATAATGAAATCACTCTGTACATGTAACTATTTTATTTGGCATTTTTGTATTTAAATGGCTGTATTTATTTTCATGTCATGACAATTTATATATAACGTGCCATAATTGTACAGATAGCATGTTTTATGAGTATGGTTTCTAAATGGAAAATAACTTAATGTTTATATTCAATAAAATTATAGACTGTGTAACACAATATCTTAATTAAAACTACTTTTGAAATTGCTACCTGTTGTAAGTAATGCTGGTATTCATTTTTCCAAGCCAACCACTTTGATCAGATTCTCGATAGCTGTCTCAATCCCAAACAGAAGCAGCATGCTTCGGAAGCGGGTGGGGGCATTTTCAATAGCTGCCATCTTCTGCTCCAAGGCTGCAAGAAAAATGTTAACAGTGAACATTATTTTCAAATGGCGGCACTGTTACTGAAGGTAGCTGTCAGCATGGCATTTCTGGATAAAACAGGTTACCTGCCGTCGAGAAGAGGAAGACATACTTGTTTCGTAAGCCCTTTTAAATTATACAGGAGGTGAAGCTTAGCTGCTTGCTAAATTGGGATTTGTTTGCCTGGTTGGGCTCTGCAAGGTGGATTTCCATTTTATCTAAAGAGAGGTCGGCCAAAAAAGGGGACAGGCGTTCCACTTGAAAGCTCAGAAACAGCCTCTGAAGTGAATGATGTTACCTTGCTCCGGTACTTTGGTCAGAAGGTCCAGAACAGGCGTAGTTCTCCCTTCTTCATCCATATGTATCTTCCAAACAATCATTAATTCAAACCTGTATCACGTGCACAGAAAAGTTAGTCGAGTGTTAACTAGGCAACTGTCTCTAAGGTTTCTTCAAAGCAGAAAGTACAGGATTCAGGAGGTTCACACTCATTATGCTCTTGAACAAAATTCACCTTAGGTGATGCAATGTACCCATCTCTGAGAATCAGAAATACTTATCTTTTGAACCAAGGAAAACTGGTAGTCTACTGACAAGGAAGGGTGGTTATTTCATTTCCAGGTACATTCAAATTTTCAACCTCAAGGATTTTCTCCCCTTGTCTTTGTCTCTTCTGAATGGTAAGTTTCCATGGAACAGTGGTGAAAAGCAAGATACAAACGAACATGAGAGAGCACCTTTCCCTCCCCCTGCCCCTTACATCATCTCTGCACCCTGTGGTCAGGTATTGTGCTTAGATACAGCATGAAAACAGAAAAATGGTTTCAGAAGTGTGTACAAAATAGTGATGTTCTGGATTTGGAATAAGGTCCACTCCTATGATACTGTTCATGGCCTTTTTAGAATAACGCACAGGGATAAATATATCCAAGGCCTAGATTCCCACATTTGTTTGCTTTTAATTAACCATTATTACTCCTTCAAGAGTGTTTTTGGTGGGTTTTTTCACGGCTAATTACTATTTCCAGCTTTCGCAGTGGGATGAGATCACCACGCTAAGGGAATGGTTAGGCAGTTGGCATTGCAGGGGAAGAGGTTTTTCTAGTCAAGTACACAGGGATTACTCTAGAACAACATTTACGGTAGACTTGCTGCTTTATAACATCCCATCTGCTTTACTGCATTTTGCATTCCCTTCCAATCCCTGCTTTTAGGAGTATTCCTCATTGAAAGTAAGGCTTTCCTAATCCAAAGCTGATAGGCACAATAACGAGTCACTGCAAGGAGGAAGCTCCCTTTCTCAGTGTTGTTTGAACAATTGTGACTGTGTAAAAATTTCCTTTAAATATGACTTGTCAGCCTTTTGCCACTTCATTGTTAAAAATCCTTTGGGAATGTGTGCACAGCTTGTTCTGGGATTTCGCAAACTAATATGCAAGTCTATTTTCTACCAAGCCACTGAAACGATTTTAAAATTCTTGTATTTCATGATTGCGGGTGAGAGGGAGTGTGTAATGGAACTTGGCACCTGTCAACATGAAGAGAAACTAAAATAAAGCAGCTTGTTTTCTAATTGTGATGGTCTAACAACGATTCATCTCAGTAACCCAGAGTTAAAGTATTTAGTTTTAAATGGCAGATTCGGCTAAACAGAGACAGCACTATCTGTAATGGTTTATTTGCTAGTTCCACAAACAAATACGATGGAGGGAGTTATGCTTTATTTCCAGTTGTTTCCATATAAATTAATGCATGTTATAGCAAAGATGTAATAGGAGAAGGGAATGGTCTGATCCCTTCACAAAATAGTTACTTTTCTTGGCCCTTACAGAATTCCTGACAGTGATAATTAAATTGTCTAACATGCAACCTCAAGGATTTTTTTTTTTTACTCAATTTAAAAACCCAAACCTGCCGGAAATGTCTAGCAGGCAGCCTAAACAACTCCAGCATGTGTGGTAGCGTAATGATAATGATAAATGGCAGTGCAATGATCCCCTCCTTCATCTGATTTCCTTCTAAAACAATGGGAAAATACAGCTTCAGCTGCTTTCAGTAACATGGTAACTGCAATTTTCTTTCCATTCTTTAACGGAAGGAAGACCAAAGAACTGTGCTTTGCTTCAGTGGTTTGTGACCATTGCACCACCTCCTACCACAGAACAAAGTATGAGCTGTAGCTGCCAGGCTCCACACCGGCGAGAAGGGATAAGCTCCTTCCTTCAGGCCCAGGGATGGAAAAAGCTGCCTTATCTCATGGAGGAGGGCTGCCAGTGGCCCACCCTGTCTCGGTAAGAGGGATGGTGGCCTCAGCATCTGTTCTGCCCATTGCTCTGGTCATGTAATGCAGAAAGAAGACCAAGAGAGAACAAATCCAGTTGAATCTGACATGTTTTCTGATGCATGAGAGGGAAGATGCATTCCACTTCCTAAACCTTGAATTTAGACTCTTCATTGTGACATGAGCTTCCAAAACCAAGGTAGTATAGTTTTTTTTTTTCCTTAAAATGCAAATAAAAAGCCTGCTAGAGCCCTTTATTTTTTTCCATCTAGCTTTTTAAAAGGGTGGGTACACACAGAAGCAACACCATTGATTGACTTATCTAACAAGGCCACATGCACAGGGCCTATACATGTATTTTTGTGGGGGTTTTTTTGTTTTTTGTGTTTTTAATGTGTGGTTATAACCCTAAAATGTAACACACATCATCTAACCTCTGTGTTCAGAGGCATTCTAAAGCAAAGAGTTACTTAATGTTCAAGCAGACCGATTATGTATAGATAGTCAATATGCATTTCACAATCCTTTATCTGCATAAACCAAGAAATGTATTTATTGGCTTACCCAGAAAGTTTGGGGTTCCTTAGAATTATATAATCTCCCCGCAGTCCTTCTGGAAGGGTCACAACATCAGGATATTTGCCCTGTGGATAAACAGGTTCAAAAGGGTATAAATTAGGTCAGAAAAATCAGAGTGGACAAGGTGGCTTCTAGCTAGTGCTTGCCAGTTTGCAGTGGATCTTAATATGCTGCCACTTTTAGCTTGCTTTTTTAATAGTTAAGAGTAATGATACGAGTTGTTTAAAATTCTGACGTGCTTTTTAAGTCTTGATGGTTTGGTTGTTTTAGTATCATTCACGTGGTATCAAGATATACTTAAATCGGTCACCTCACAGAAAAAAACAGTATTGTGCACCTGTACAAACAGGCCTTAAAAGTCCTTATGCAAGACGTAGGAAACCTTGAAAGAATATTTTTCAACTAAGTTCTGTTAATTTGATTTAATAACACATTATAATACATCACAGTTTCACATAAAAATCAACCAAACCCTTACTAGTACGCTCTGTTTTGCTACTCCTTTTGAGAAAGTGGATCACCACGTTCCATAACAGGGCTTTGAAAGCATGAAGGAATAAAGGAAATGAGATACCAAAATAACCACTATTATCAAAATATAATGGGGCAATGGAAACACGATAAAACATGTAAAACTACTGACTACTATTAAACTTTCATGTTACTGGGAATTAGAGCTATTTTCAATTACTACAGTGTGCAAAGATTGATCATCGTTCATTACTTTGTTAGTTCATCTAATAATTTACAGTCTTCAATGTGTATATCTTGAATTACCTAAGACTCATAACTTTATAACCGTTTTAAAAGCATGTAAAAGGAAAGCAGAATAGTAGCTATGCATGGATCCTTTTGAAGTTATGCAGTATGTAAGGTGACAGAGTATGAGGAGACCCATATGCATCAAAATACTGGGAAAGAACACAATTACTGCATCCTGCAGGGACATGCTATTGCAAAAGAAAACAGAATCTAGACGCAGCCTGTTGTCATGAAGACTTCAACACTCTTACTTGCTTGCAGTGTCTTTTGTACTGGATACAAAGCTGTGTTCCAAAACCTGCAGTTTATAACGTGTGAAAAGACACTCAGCCTAAATCATTCTGCAGAGCTCGCAGGGCAAGTGGTATGTCTTAGAGACAAGGAGCCGGAGAGCTCGTCTTTGAAAAGCACTGGAGAAAATGAGTTAGGTTTTATAGGATTACGCCTCATCTGGCAGACTGAAATTGCTACCAGATGTGACCTTGCTCTGGTTTAGGAATTTATGACAAACTGAAGGGGGTTTGTGCAGAATGCCAAATGACATAAAACACATGGAATTTGCCAGTTTTAATTTCTACAAAGTATCTAGTACTGTATTTACCATGGGGATAAAGACCACGATCTATCCTGGGAACAAAGACACGTAAGGGGCAACAAAGTGCACGGTAGTTACAGCATGAAAAGGTGGCTGATCTAAGCCCAGCAGAACAGTGATCTTTTTTCAGCTTGACTCCCTGTGGATTGATGCTCCTCCGATGACAAAATAAAACAAGTTTTTCCTTCTCAATAACCCATGTCTTTGATATTCATTATGTGCCTTCATTTGTCCAGTATCATAGGTCTCAGAGAATCTAGCAATCTCTTAGCTCCAGGTTGCAAATACTAGAAATTGAGGATTAGTTTGTATCTGGGGAACAGAATTCTTAAGTTCCTCGTTTACAAGAGATGCTAAGTATACCATAGCTGAACACTGAGTCATGTTTTATCTTCATCCGCCCATTCTGAGGCCTTTGGGAATTACAAGAGAAAATAGATCAGAGGCACTAGATAAGAGTTCCAATTTTCAAACTGCTGTAAAATGCACCCAGGACTTGTTTGGGAGTTGCTGTGTAGCTGCCACAATCAACGCCATTACCCCTAGCTAGTGGGTGGTACTTTACATTGTACAGAAACAAGAGGTACCTCAAGGAAATCTCAAAGTCTGTAATTTTCTGTTGTCTAAAAGCTTCCCTGTACCTGGAAGAGACTGCGTCAGCGAGTTCTGCACACAGGAAGCCGTTATTCTCTGCCGTAAATAAATGCCAGGGTTTTGACAATCTGTCTGAATGCTGTGAGAATCTGATCTTGTGTGAAATTCACAGGATTTGGGACAAAATCCAGCTGCTTAGCAGGAAAGATCATATCTTAGCAATCCACAACACACACAAAAAGCCAAAACACAAACACCTACCTCTCTCTTCAGGTGTATTACATGCTAAAATTGAAGCCATAACAGCGGCATGAAGCAGCACCTCGCCCAGACCCCCGTGAGGAGGTGTCTGCCCTCGCACCTAAGGGTGACTCCTGGGAGCCATGACGCGGCAGAAGCAGGAAGCAAAACTGCCGCACCCAGGATTAAGCAAGCGATGTTGGACACTGACGATTTAGGGAATAAAAACCATGAAATGCAGTCACACAATCTACCTTTCATATTCCACATATAAAACGTAACGTCTGTGTCCCGCAGGTAAAACGTGAGGATCTGGCACGTAAATGAAAAACCAGGCGCAGGCTGTGCACGAGCTGCAATAGTCCTGACAGAACTGCAATTCCAAATACACTCGGCGGGTACCGGATTATCACCTCATATTCTCTGCTGTGCAACTTTTCTAAGTTTTCCCCAGGGAAGAGAAAAGCCGAGCCACAACCAGGGTAACAGAATGACCCGATCCACTGAAAGGTCCCTTGGGAAAGTCAGTAACTCCTACGGGATCTCGTAAAGCGGACGCCAGGCAACTGAAAGGTATCGCATCAAGTAGCGCGATACCAGATGGGAAAGATCAGCCACAACTGCATTAAGCAAAACCTGACTTTAATCAAGAAATATCTTTCCTCAGATGACTTTTAAATGTCAGTTCATGATCAAAACCAAAAGCCCATGCTATTATTACTTCTGGACGGAAATTGTTTTTCCAGCTCCTTCAGGAGTCCAAGCAAGGAATCTTATGGGAACTTCTGTCTAAAACAGAAATAGTCTCAAATCACAAGGGGATGACCATCATGACAGTCTTCCCTTTCTCCCATCACAGATTTTACACACACACACACAGCCAAACAAGTGAATACACTTGGAGTGTCTATTTTTAAACAAAATATATTATTCTTCAGCTGTTCAAAACTGCATTGCAATTTTCTGCATACTAAAACTCTTCTAAAGAAAACGTTTCAAGTTATTCGGCTTAAGGGCCCTGACTAAGAATGCAAAGCAAAATTGGCAAGGCAGAAGCTATGCTAAAAGCAGACAAATTTGCTTCTAACCCACTTACGAAGCAAATAGGCTACTCTGCTCTTAGATGGAACAATAGTTCACACTTACTACTCATTTTGAACTTTGCATTCTGTAAGAAGGCCTGTATATAAAGAGTATATAAAGCCAGTCATGCTGCTATGGGTCCCTCCACAGGTGTAAGCTACTTCTAAATTTAGTAAAGATGCTACGTTTAGGCTCTGATTCGGGGTGATTTATATGTATGTTTTGGTCAGCTAAGGCCACAGTATCATCCACTGAAGTCATACACATGGTGGTATAGCATCAAGGTCTTAAATAACACCACCATCATAACTTCAGGGATTCAAATACAAATTCTTTGCAAAAATGGTGAAAATTCTAGATACTGTAGAAAACCCATAACAACATGATTAAATTCCAGAAGCATTAAACAATCAAACCCACTGCCACCAGTCTGCTACCCACTGCAAAAATTTAGGTCAATCCCTTAAGCAGCCACCAAGCGGGAAGCCATGGCAGCGTGCTGCCCCAGGCGCTCCCGGAGAGAGTCTGAACTCGAAGCAGCTGTGTTCTCCAACAGCCGCACTCTCTGGTTTCAGCAGCAATCGGATTTTTAAATTACAGTAGTCTAACTCAGATAACAACAAAAGGAATAATTTTACTATTACCGTAAATAATAATTCTACTATTACTGTAGGATCAAGTCCTACAGACACTTAAAACCAGCAATCACCAGGCTACAAAATGAAATTAAATGCAGCAATTTCATTTTTGGAAATTAGCTCTGGTCTTACAATTTATCTGTCTTTATGCACATTGCTAAAATATTTGGTGCTAACTTCACCAAGAACACTTATCCTTGAGTCACAAACTACGTTAACCTGCCATAAACTGAACGTCACATATACATTTTCAATCAATTATCTTTCTAGAAATGTATTTTAAGTTGCTTTGATGAATTGCATTTTTAGATATCGGACAATATATTTGTTAATGCATTTCAATTAACTAAAATATTTTATCCTGTAAGAGAGCTGTCACCAACATGAAAATATAACAAGGATTTATACTTTCCTGCATTTTTAAAGCACGGTGGCAAGCCCTAAGTCAATGAAAAACTTCTCCATGACATTTAGCTTTTCTGGTACCAACATGCACCTCAGACTTCAACAGATAAGACAAAACAGTCTGCCAATACAAACTAACTGAGAAATGTTACTGCATCTAAAAAGAAATGCATCCTATTTTTCCTTCTTTCCTTCCTCTCCACTGCTCGACTCCCAAGAGCAGCACTGTATAAATTGATGTACATTAAAAATCTGAATACAAGGATGAACCTGTAATGTAGGCAGATGAAGATGTGCAAGATAGCCACGGTTCTGAGAGGGTTTCGTCTCAAACTTGCATTTTTTTGAGGCTTCTTTTGAACTGAAAATCAACAGGAAAAGTCTGGAACCTTCAGAATATACAAGGAGAAGAGAAACCCGTTGCCTGCAGAAGCTGCAAGTTTGTCACATGCTTAAGTTGATGTTCTTTATGTAGAAGTTTTTGCTGCACAATGGCAGCGTTGGAGTATTTTTAATAGAATACTGTAAATACTACCAGTGTCATTAAATATTATGCTCAAAGCCTGAAGGGTCTGAAGTTTGACTATGGAAAGCGCCGTACCACAAGATTCAGTAACCGACTTCCAGTCTGATGAACTGGAATTACTGAGTCAGAAAGACAAACGGTTCACAAAGGGAAAATTTCTACAGAAAGACTTTTTGTTTTCAATATGCTACATGTTAGATTTCACCTCAAGTTTCATTTAAAGGAGCTTTTAAAAAGTATGTAAAAAAAGAAAGACAGTAATTAAAATTTAAATGTATGAGCATAATCAGTGAATCTACACTGTGTCTCCTTAGGGGTTTGTTTAGTATCCACCAAACAGAAAGCATTACATGAACAGGAGGGATACAAATGTTTAATTTTTTCCAAAGAAACTCAGCGTTATGACTGCCATACCAACTTAAATGATTCCAGTGTTATAAAGACAATGTCAGCTCTGGGCAAACCGAGCACCCTCCGCTGCTTTAAATCTGGCCAAATAAACAAGCACCAGTCCATTAAATAACTACCCTACATCAACATAAATTATTAAATTATTGTTAAATTGACTAGCTTTGTCTGCCAAGATTCATTCTTGTATATACAAAATGATGCAAATGTAAAGTGACTGAATTTCTTCTTATTTTTCAGAAGCACCAGTTGCACAGGTAAAGTATAGACTCGTAAAATATCAAAAAAACAGTGAATATAGAACGCTATATAACTTACTTTGAGAGAACTACTTCGAATTTACTTTCATGTGATACACCTCAGAATCTAACTGAGTATGTTTATCTTACAGGATGACATGTTTAAATCTTTGTTTCTTCAGTAGCTTAATACTGGAAACAAAGGTCTTTTGAAGCTACTGCAGTATTTGTAAGGCTTAAACATTTACATTTTGAAAGAAAAAACAATTTATCCCATGCCATATATTTTTTGGTTGAAAAAGAAAGTATTCTTTATATGCCATTTCATATTCTCTTTGGTATCTTTCTGTGGAAACAAGTTCAGTATTATCTAAAATCTGTATTTGGTGTGTAGAGTATTGATGACATTACACTCAACATTTATACATGGACTTTTGCTTTAAAGTATATAATGAGCCAACAGGACAAGAATTAGAAGATGCAGTGACTCCTCAATCCGCTGTTTTTCCCTTGTACAGCCATTTACTATGTATATGTATGATTCATAGTTTTAAACTATTTTTGTAATTTTTTTTAAAATAAATTCCACTACAGCAATAGAGGAACATTTAGAAAGCCATTTATGCAGAGCTAAACCATTATTGTCTACTGATATTTGGAGCAATGCTGTGGCTATTCCCTAACTCAGAGCAACGCAGAACTGGGATCTCACTAAAAATCAGTATTTTTAAAAATTTTCGTTTCTAGAGCAAGAAAGTTTATCAGCATCCCAGTTATGGTAGTATCTCATAATAGCATACTTCGGGAATCAGTGTTCCACTCCTTGCTTGATCTGCCTCTGTGCATCATACGAGTTTGTGATAGATCTTCATAGAATCATTTAAAAATCCTTTGGAAAAATCCTTTAAGGTCATCAAGTCCAACCGTAAACCTAACACTGCCAAGTCCACCATTAAACCATGTCCCTAAGTGCCACAAAATTGTGCAATTAGACTAAGAAATACAATACATAATTGCTGAGGTAGCATTCTACAAATAATTTGAATACCTAGGTCCAAGGAAAAAATCTCTCATTCTAACTTCCCTCTATACTATAACATATGGAACATTAGAAATACTTAACGTAACACAAAATGTTTCTGTATTTCTCAAACAGTAGCTAGCACTGCACAAAACCCACTCGATCAACTCCACCTTCTGCACTCTAGTATGATTTTACAGTAATTCCACAAGATGCAAATCTCCATTTATTGCCTTTTCTCATGCAGAGATGTATTCATACTTAAGATGTTAGAGATGTTTTAAAAACAAATAATGATGTATAAATTCTATTCACTTTTATACTTGGCTTTAAAGAAAAAGTATGGCTGAGTCCAATAGCTGTTGGATTAACAACACTGGGGA